AAACTCAGCCCCCCGGGCATACGTAATTGTCACGTACGGCCTCGTGAGTATTTTTGGCAGGAAAATTGCTAATTTAAGAAGAAAACTTGAAAAGCTGAAATTTCAACGAAATGTTCCCTGTCCAAATAGCGCGTAGACAATTAACTTCCCAGACTTCGAGGACCAGTATATCACACACTTCCAGCTACTGGGTTTCCGAGCGCTCTCATTACGGCACGAAATATTGCAAAAACGCATGTTCGCACGTGTCAGCCCGGTGCGAGTCGCCAATGATTTTTTTCTGATTTTTATTCCATTTTCTCTGGTTCATTATTATACGCGAATTATAAAGCGAAATATGTGTACGTTTGTGTATGTATATGCGTTTGCATACACGTAGTCAGTTCGATTATGTGGGTGCATCAACCAAGAGATGATATCCTGGACAGGTTGCATTACCAAGAATACAATACCACCTAAACAAACGGTGCAGATGTTCTGTGTTAGCAGCATTAGGCAGCTGCGCCAGACCCCTCAGCCTCGGGCTGCATATCACCAATTACTGCCTACTGCCTATCTGATGCATGTGCTCCCCCTTCAGAAGCCAATCGAGTGGTCATTTATTTTCTGTAAATTTTCCTTAATCTTTTTTGATTAGTGCTTTCTTAGTACAAAACAATTAAATAGCCTTGAGAAAAGCAACTCACGTCGGTTACATTTACGTCCTCTCCAGCCAGGTGCACAGAAGCAGTGCCCACTAACCGGATCGCAACTTGCACCATTCTCGCAAAGACACAACTCTTCGCAACGCTGACCGAATTGACCATATGGACAAGTGCGCTCGCATCTGAAGATTAAGACGTACTGGCTTTGAAGAAAAGCGCTTGCTATTGATTAGAGAATGTTGAAAAGTAGCAGTTCAAAAGAAGGTATACCTTTCACCTGTGGAACCAGGCAAACAATGGCAAGTGCCGTCAGTTCGGTTGCAACTCGCTCCACGCAAGCAATTACATTTCTCAGCGCAGTTCACACCGTATTGTTGAAATGGGCAGACTGAAATAATTCCCAGAACAGTAGTATTTCCCACGAATCAACATATCTCAGCTCTGTCTCTTGCACACTATATAGGTAAAAGTCTTAAGTGAGGTCGAAAAATCCAGTATCTAATTTGCATACACTGCGGTAAAATGGAATATCAATTTCAAAAAATTACGGATGTTTGGAAGAGAAAGTTTTGGGTTGACCTGGATATACAGAGCTATGAGTTAACCCGAACAGCTCTGGTCTACGCATCAGTCCTCATTTAGCTCATATCTTATAAGCGACGAGAGAAATACGTGAACACATTACCGGGCGAACAAATATGATTAGTTATAAAAGCAATTTCTTCAAGACGTCAAAGAATTACTATAGTAGCTGCCCTGTTCCAAAACTGTATTAACGGGATTCAACAAAAAACAAAATGAGGACAAACCAAAACTTGCTCTTGAATTTATTTCAAAACAGTCTCGCGCCACCTACCTACAATTGCGACTAGTCTGCGCAAAACTAACCGAATTCGCATGCGGGCCCGGTCCAGCCAGCTGCACATTTGCATGTTCCATTCACGCGATCGCAGTTCCCATCATGCATGCAGAGACAGTGTTTGTTGCAGTTCGGCCCGTACAGTCCCGCAGGACATTCTGTAACAAAGTTTTAGGGTATGGTTCTTGTTTCACAGCGAGCTTCAAAATTTTTTGAGACAAGGCAAATTCTATCCTCTGGTACTAGTCTGTGAGAAAATAAGTCACAAATACGTAAGTTTTCCTAATTTTGGCTGCTACTGAACTTTTGGCTGCAGTTCGGCCCCCACTTCGAATATTCAAGAACCTGCCGGATAATCAAAGCTTCTGAAAAACAAGTGGTGAAAGAAAAGATTTAGATCAGTAAGCAAACTAACAGGTAGGATTTGATGCGTTTACTATAAGATAATCTCAAACCAGATGACACACGAAAATCGAAATGCGAATACGCGCATGTTTTGAATTACTTATGTCATTCTGTTATTCGGCGTGATTTCATGCGCAACGAGCAGTGTGCAGAATTAAAACTAAACTTAGAACCTTGCGTGAACGATAGAAAAGAATAATTTAGCAAATAAAGTAGCACGGGCCTTGCATTGTCTTGTCCGCTACCTCGCCTATACTGTGGTAAAGCGCCTGTGGAGGAATTTTGAAGCGGTAAGAAAAAGTAACGCAAAGAAAAAGGTACATCACACAACAATATGATTAAATCTCTACGATGTGTGTGCGTACTGACTATATTTCGAAATCAGAGTGTTTTAGTGAAAATTTTCGAGTAATAACGGTTTACCGCTAATGATATACAGTGACGTTTCTCTCTTGACAACTTCTGGAAAGTTGATACGATACACAGTATCGCTTTGTTCGGCTCGAAACAAACACTGATGGCCTGGCCGGCTAGCAGTAAAAGGATATACTTGTGGAAAACTAGTCTGGAAAAGTCAGCTGGAATTTTTGATCCTTAGAGCTATCTAGATAAATTCACTAACATTGCGGTCGGCTAGTGATTTAAACAAGACAGCCCGTTGTGATGACGGTACACTGACCTATTTCGCAGTGTCGACCCATGAAACCGGCTGGGCAGTCGCAGAATCCAGTGATCGGGTCACATGTTCCATCATTCTGACACTGACATTCCGATCTACAACCAGTACCCCACCTGCAAATTGTTTACTCTTAGCCACCCAAATCGCCTTGGCTATTTGCGGAACGGCAAAACACCGCATGAAAAGTTTCTCCGAGCAATTAGTTATTAAGAATCCACGACAAACCTAAAGAAGGTTTTGTTGCTGGTCTCAGTCGGCCATTTTTTTGTGCGAAGGCTTCAATACATATCCAGAGAAACTGCGGACGTGAAAAACTAATTATTGGAAGGCGATTCATTCAGCGATTATTACTGTAAAAGTAGTCTTGAATAACCTGTTGGGTGGACATGGTGTTCGACAATCGGGTCCAGTCCAACCCTCTGAGCAAAGGCATTCACCGGTTACCGGATGGCACTTCGTCGCAAAAGGTATCACTTCAGTATCGCCTGCAATGAAAACGCTTAAGTGCTGTTCCACTTTTACTTTTATCATAAATGATTACCAGTAAGTGCAACGGAAAATCTCTCGTATAGAGGATCACGGGTACGAACAGCGAAAAAACCAGTCTACGATTCGTTCTTTTGCTTCGCTAGTAAGCTTGGTGCTGCCATGAAGTCAAGGCCGCTACCAATTTGTTTCGGAAGAACTGTCGAAAAGAGGATTCATCAGCATTCCTATCAAAAGATAGTTGCTTTTGTACTTGCTACCGCTTGGACTTATTCGTAAACGCCTCCACCACTAATAAAAACGAATTAGAGAGAGGTCTTCTGTTTTTCAAATTTACATCTACGCTTTAGTTACACCGTGAAACTTGAAAACAACCCAAGCTGGAACGCACCAGGTTTGCCAGTGCGATCATGCACTTTTGCACTAAACTCGCAGATCGCTGATCGCTGATAACAGGAATGACCCTTGCGCTGTAGCCTAACACTTGGGCTCACTGACTGTGCACTGGGCTCTTCTGGCATGCAGGAGAAAAAGCGTCGATTGAGATGAAGACGTTGCATTATAGGGCCGCATGAACCTCTTGGTACATGATTACCAGTTTTTACGTGTTTTTGCCCATCTGCAAATTGCAAAAATGCATATTGCAATGACCTTGTCTGTGCGTGTGTCTGTGTATGTCTGTGTGTGTTCGCCTGTCCGGATATTTCAACTCAGCAACCAAGCAAGTTCCAGCGCCAAGATTTTGCTGGAGGGTTCCCCGACCAAGTGCTACCCCACAACCGCGGTCCCAAATCTCACGCAAATCTGGGCCCCGCATACGAGGGGTGAAAGTTTTGGTGTGAAAATTGACAACTCGGGAACGAGAAAAGATAGAAGGCTGAAACTTTGGGAGTATGTGGTCATATCGTGTGCGACCTTCCCCTTTTGATATCATCCCCCGCGAAAGCCTGGGTGCTGTGTACGGATGCTTCAAAAAAATATGCAAATTTTTTGACGGGAAAGCGATCTCAGGAACCAGACAAGACAAGAGGCTGAAAATTTGTAGGGATATTCTCTGTGCATGTGCGAGTTAAAGATTTCAAATCCAGCCCCCAGGTATGCGTGGTACTCACGTAAGGGCGCACGAAAGTTTTGGCGGGAAAATTGCTAACTTGAGGACCAGGAAAGCTAGAAAGCTGAAACCTTGGGGGAGTGTTTCCTATCCAACTACAATTCAAATATTTCAAATTCAGCCCCAAAAATGCATGGTACTCACATAAGGGCGTATGGAACTTTCTGCGGGAAAATTACTAACTCGGCAACCAGAAAAACTGGAGGCCTGAAATTTTGGGAGAATGTTCCCTGTTTAAGTACAACTTAAGTATTTCAAATTCAGTCTTGAGGTATACGTGGTTCTTACGTATCGGCACTTAAAATTTTGGCTGAATTTCTGACTGAACAACTAGGCTACTTTTAAAAAACGATCGTTAAGTGAAAATTGTACGTTTATTTTATGCAAAATTTATGATTTATGCTAGTGACCGTAAAAGGTAGATGTAAAACAGCAACCATTCATGCAATTAATGACATGAATACTTCAAGTCCAGTGCAAAAACACATAATCGCATGGGCCTGCCCGGTGCATTCTGGCCTGGGCTTGTAAGAAGCCCGGTAGTTTTTTCGGCAAAGCTCGCTTTTTGAAGAAATGAAAAATACAAATTTCCAGTTTACTAAAAAGTGGAAGTGTTGCTAGAGCGGCCGTTTGCCAAAAAATCGAAGTATGCAGATGAACTGAACCTTCATTTACACATTTGGATGAGGGCAGTCGTTCGCTGCAAGATGCACTCGTTTCTGATTTTTCATTAAAGTCGAGTATTTTTCACGGCCACTTGCATGGAATTTCACTTCTGCGCAGGATTAAGACCCCACTTGAAAACAAAATATTTCAGCGAAGTTATAGTCCCAAACCTTTTCCGGTGCGCGAAATATCCACTTCGCTACAAATATATTTGAAGCGCCCTAAATCGCGGCGCAAGTGCAAATCGATACTCATTTTAGGTGTGTGGCTTCCTATTTGGACAGCAAACATGCTGACAAAATTTCAGCCACTGTTTCCTAGCAAGTTTTCGAGTAAGCACTGTACCAAGTTGCAAACTTTGATGTGATCGTACGCGCTTCATAAGCATGCGTAACAGCTGAATTTGAAACATTTAGCTCCCACATCCACATAGAATACCTCTGCAAAGTTCCAGTTCTGCACCTTGCCTGGTTTGCGAAATCGTTTCCCGCCAAAGAAATTTGCATATTTCTTTGGGAGGTCCGTACGCGAAGTCCAGGCGCATATGGGGAATGATCTCAAAACGGGACGATGACACACGAGGTAGGAACATATATCCAAATTTTCAGCCTCCCAGCTTTCCTGGTTGATGAGATGAAAGTGGGTGACAAAATGCACTCGCTATATAGCGCTATAGCGCTGCTACAGCCAGCAAAAACGCATAAAAACGGATGCATCTTCTTTCACTTCGGTTTCTCCAAAAAAGCATGTTTTAAGCGAGCGCAGTCAATTCAGCTAACACGGAAATGCCTCGAAAATACAGAAAATAAATAGCAGCGCGCACCAGAATA